ACGTCTTCGAGGCGAACCTGAAGGCCGAGTGCGACCTGTGGCGCCTGATGGTGAAGGAGATGTGGGCGGGGAAGGTGCTGGCGGACGAGCACAAGGTCAGCGCGGGGCCGCGGGGACAATGGCCCTCGGTCAGCAGCGGGCGGGGGGGGGGGCGCCGGCCCTCGGTCAGCAGCGGGGGGGGGGGGGCGCCGGCCCTCACTCAGCAGCGGGGGGGGGGGGACGCCGGCCCTCACTCAGCAGCGGGGGGGGGGGGAGCCGGCCCTCACTCAGCAGCGGGGGGGGGGGGGGGGACGCCGGCCCTCACTCAGCAGCGGGCGGGGGGGGGGGGACGCCGGCCCTCACTCAGCAGTGGGTCTGGGGGGGGGGGACGCCGGCCCTCACTCAGCAGTGGGTCTGGGGGGGGGACGCGGGCCCTCACTCAGCAGCGGGGGGGTCGGGGGGGGACGCGGGCCCTCACTCAGCAGCGGGGGGGTGGGGGGGGGACGCGGGCCCTCACTCAGCAGTGGGGTCTGGGGAGGGGGGACGCGGGCCCTCACTCAGCAGCGGGGGGGGTGGGGTGGGGGGACGCCGGCCCTCACTCAGCAGCGGGGGGGTGGGTGGGGGGTGACGCGGGCCCTCACTCAGCAGCGGGGGGGGGGGGTGACGTGGGCCCTCACTCAGCAGCGGGGGGGGGGGTGACGCGGGCCCTCACTCAGCAGCGGGGGGTGGGTGGGGTGGGGGACGCGGGCCCTCACTCAGCAGCGGGGGGGGGTGGGTGGGGGGGGACGCGGGCCCTCAGCAGCGGGCAGGGGGAGGTCCGGCAGGAGTGGCGCAGAGGCTGTGCCTGCAGGGCCTGTGGGCGGCCGCTCGTCGCCGTCCGGTGCTGTCCGGTGCCGTCCGGTGCTGCCCGGTGCTGCCCGGTGCTGCCCGGTGCTGTCCGGCAACGTCCGGGAGGAGGTGGGGCTGGCCGGGCCGGGCCCGGGTGCGGGCGCCTGTGCCCCCGTATCGGCCTCATGGCCAGTCCCGCCTGCATGCGCTTGGGGCCACGGTGGTGGCTTTATGATGTCACGTTCCGAGGCCATGCCCGGCGCCGGGAGGGAGGACGGGGAGCGTGGTCACCGGCAGAGAGACAGGAAGCCTCACAAACGCCGGCCTGAGCCGGGCCCCAGCCGGCGGGCTCCCAGGCGGTGCAGGCCTGGGCTGGACCGGGACGGGGCGGGGAGGCCTCACGGGAGGACCGGGACGGGGAGGACCAGGACGGGGCGGGGAGGCCTCACGGGAGGACCGGGGCGGGGAGGGACTGGAGGCGGGGAGGCCTCACGGGAGGGACCGGGACGGGGAGGACCAGGACGGGGCGGGGAGGCCTCACGGGAGGACCGGGGCGGGGGAGGCCTCAGGGGGAGGCCTCAGGGAGGACCGGGCGGCGAGCAGCCCCGGAAGCCGCTCTCGCCTGCCCCCAGGACCCTCAGTACGTGCAGCAGGCGCTGACGCACGCCCTGCTGATGGACGCCGTGGTGGGCGCGCTGCAGACGCCCGAGGCCATCTACGCGGCCTCCAAGCTGTCCTACTTCGACAAGATGCTGAGCGAGAGTAAGGCCGGGCCCCGCGGGGCGGGGCGTCCGAGTCCCGGCGGCTTTGTGCCTTTGTCCCCTTTCCTGGTGTCAGAGAGGCAGGGGGGAGAGGGCCACCACGAGGAGAGAGAGCCGCTGGCCGGCTGCCTCCTGCGCCCCCCAGTGCTGAGCCCCGACCACCAGGACTCAAACCCTGACCTCCTGACTCCCAGGGTGACGCTCAGGCCCTGAATTATGTCGCTGTCCTGACCCTCCCCTCCTTCCTGACCGATCCCGGGAGCACGTGGCGCGGGGGCCGTGGCCGTGGCCGTGGCCGTGGCCCGTGTCTGCTTTCACTGTGCCCATGTGTGTTTCAGTGCCCTTGGCCGTTCCCAAGACAACGACGGAGATGCTGAGGCACAAGATCAACCCCTCGGCGGGGAGACCTTCCCGCAGGCCGTGGACGTGCTGCTGTACACGCCAGGTACACGCCTGGTACACGCCTGGTACACGCCTCGCTCATGCCCGGGTCAGCGGGGCCGTGGGGGGCGGGGACTGGGGTCCTGCTCTTCGCGGGGAACACGCGGCAGCTGCTGTGGCCCTCGGAGGCCAGCAGAGGAGCCGAGGGCCGAGGGGCCGAGGGGGGCGGGGCAGGCGCGCCCGTGGGCGTCGCTGAGGCCTCGCCCAGTGGCCCTGGTTGTTGTCATGGTTACAGAGGCGTCCCCTGGGCGGGGCTGGTGCTGGCCATCTCCCGCCCCCCTGGTGCCCACAGCCCTGCCCCGTCCCTCAGCCCCACGCCCACTGTCCGGTCTCAGCGACCCTCCAGCCTGGCCTCCGAGGGGACGGGGTCCCGTGGCCGCTCGCCGCCTCTGCGAAGGGTTTCGGTGACCCCCGCTGCTTTCCGCTCAGGGCAGCTGGACCCGGCGGAGCGGGCGGGGGACGCGCACCCCAAGCTGTGGTGCGCGCTGCAGGCCGGCCGAGTGGTGGTGTTCGACGCCTCGTCCTGGAGCCTGCACCAGCACTGCGTCCGCGTGGGCTCCTCGGCGCTGGTGCGTCCCCGCGGGCGGGCGGGCGGGCGGGCGCCTGCCAGGCCCGTGGCGGGAGGGAGGGACAGCTGGCCGCGGACAGGCCCAGCGCCCTCCCCTCCGGAATCGGGGCTCCCGCTCCTGCTTCGGTTCCAAATCCAGCGTGGGCCGGTTCCCGCATCGCTGTCACGTTCTTTGTAATGAGCAGATGGTGGCCGGGCGCCCGCGCTCCGAGCTCACCCGGACTCGGCCCCGGCTCAGCCCAGCCCGCTGCCCGACGCGGCCCGCGGGGCCGGCTCTTTAAAATGTGCTTATTGACTTCCGAGAGGGAGGGAGGGAGGGAGGGAGGGAGGGAGGGACATCCACGGTGGGAGGGAATCAGGGACCGGCTGCCTCCTGCACGCCCTGCACTGGGCTGGAGCCCACGACCCGGGTCTGACCTCCTGGTTCCTGGGTCCATGCTGCCCTGAGCCCGCCGGCCTGCCCGTTCCTGTGCTCTGTCCGGTGGGCCGGCCCCAGGGGTGCGGCGGCGGCTGGCTGGCGTCCGGAAGGCGCGGAGGCGTGGCAGTGCGTGTGAGGCCAGCCGCGCTCAGACACGCCCGTGCTGGTGGCGTGGCTCACGGAGGACGTGCTGCTTGGGAGGCGGGGCCTGGCGGCTCCCAGGAGGCCGGCGGGCCCGCTCCGGGCGCTCACCCTCCTCCCCCCGCAGAACTGCATGGCGATGGCGGCGCAGGGCCAGGTGTGGGTGGGCTCCGAGGACTCGGTCATCTACATCATCAGCGTGCACAGCATGTCCTGCAACCGGCAGCTCACCGAGCACCGCGCCGGCGTCACCGGCTTCGTGGTGCAGGACGGCCCCGACGCGCCCAGGTACCGGCTCCCGCGGGCCTGCCCGCCGCCCCTGTGGGCCCCGGGGAGCGGCCGCGGGCAGGCCCGGCGGGGCCGGGCTGGGAGGAGTTAGTTCTGTTTGCTCTGGTTCTGGGACAGCAGCGTGTCCCTGTGGGAGCAGCCCGGGCTTCTCCGCGGCTCCCCGGCTCTGTCGGAGCGGCTCCCGTCCTCAGGTGGAGCCGGGCGTGGCTCGTGGCCGAGGCCGGTCCCCACCGCGTCGGCGTGCGCCTGTCCTCTGTGCGCCTGTCCTCCGGGCGCCTGTCCTCCGGGCGCCTGTCCTCCGGGCGCCTGTCCTCCGGGCGCCTGTCCTCCGCGCGCCTGTCCTCCGGGCGCCTGTCCTCCGCGCGCCTGTCCTCCGCGCGCCTGTCCTCCGCGCGCCTGTCCTCCGGGCGCCTGTCCTCCGGGCGCCTGTCCTCCGGGCGCCTGTCCTCCGGGCGCCTGTCCTCCGCGCGTCTGTCCTCCGCGCGCCTGTCCTCCGCGCGCCTGTCCTCCGGGCGCCTGTCCTCCGGGCGGCGGGCTGTCTCGGGTTAGAACACACGGCTGTGCTCAGAGACAGCGTGCGCTTGTGCCTCAGCCAGGTGTACTCGTGCAGCGCGGATGGGGCGGTCCTGGTGTGGGACGTGAGTTCGCTGCAGGTGACCCGCCGGCTCCAGCTGCCGGGCAGCGGCCTCTCGTCCATCCAGCTGCACGCCGGCTGCCTGTGGTGCTGTGAGTTCCCCTCCTCCCCCGCCCCCGTCACCAGGAGCCCAGCCCTCAGGTCCAAGCCCGTCTTCCTGGTCCCTGCTCTGCGCTTCCCCGGGTGGGCGGGGCGGTCCCCGGCCTCTCCCTTTGCCCGTGGGGACGTGGGCACAGCCACGCGCTCCCAGGAGTCGCTGTGAGCAGCTGAGGGGTGCCGCACCCCTGTACCCTAGCACAGAGCGGAGGGGGGACCCCAGCTCTGCGCTGTGCCTGCGCCGTGTTCTGCATTCCTGAGAACCCCAGAAGCCACAGCCCCTCGGCTGTGGGGTGGGAGGCCCCGCGTGCTCCGGGCCCTCACGCGCCCCTCCTGCAGGCACCTGCCGCAGCATTGTGGCCATGAACAGCAGTGTCCGGCAGGAGCTGAAGATCGACGATACCGTCCAGGAGCGCAGCACCACCTTCGTGGCCTTCCAGCTGCTCCCCGAGGTACTGCCCGCCCGCCCTGGGCCCTGCCTGCTGCCAGCACCCGCATGGCCCCCTCCGGCCTCCTCCGGCCCATGCCCAACCCTCGCCAACCCCCACTGGTCCCCACCGGCCCCCGCCAGCCGGCCCCCGCCGGCCCCTGGTGGCCCCCGCCAGCCCCCCGCCTGGCCCTGCCAACCCACCAGCCCCCACCAGCCCCTGCCGGCCCCCACCGGCCCCCGTCAGTCCCCGCTGGCCCCTGCTGGCCCCTGCCGGCCCATGCCCAACCCCTGCCAACACCCACTGGCCCACGCCAGCTCCTGCCGACCCCCACCCGCCCCCGCATGGCCCTTCCTCCCCAGCAGGAGCAGCTGTGGGCGGCGTGCGCGGGGTGCGATGACCTGTACGTGTGGGGCCTGAGGGACCTGGCCCGGCCGCCTGAGAGGGTGCACCTGCCCGACTGCGCCCAGGTCACCTGCATGATCCGGGTGAAGAGGCAGGTGAGGGGCCTGGGCGTGGGCCGGGCCCCGCCCCCTCCGCCCGCACCCCCGCGGCCTCGGCCGAGCTGACGCCGTGCCCGTGTCCGCAGGTGTGGGTGGGCGGCACCGGGCTGTCGCAGGGCAGGTCCCGGGGGAAGATCTACGTGGTGGACGCCCGGAGCAGGGCCGTGGAGAAGGAGCTGGTGGCGCACGCGGACGCCGTGAGGACGCTGTGCTCGGCCGAGGACAGATACGTGCTGAGCGGGTCCGGCCCGGAGGAGGGCAAGGTCGCCATCTGGACGGTGGAGTGAGGCCGCCCTCCTCGCTCCCATGTGCCCGGGGGCCGTGCCCGCCGCGGGCTGCCCCTCCAGGACCGGCTTCTCCTCGGGCTCCTGCTGAGACCGGCTCCCGGGCGCAGCGGGCTCCCCCGCGGCGAGAACCTCTGCCCGCCGCCGCCCCGCGCGCAGCTTGGAAGGTTCCAGAGCCCACGCTGGCCCGGAGCCAGTCTCGGCCGAGCGGCTGCCCGCCTCTGCCGGCCCCACTCACGCCCGAGCCCCGGGCACCGCCTCCAGGCTGCTGCCCAGAGCAGGCGCGGCCAGGGAGGACGGACAGGCGGAGGACGGCGGAGCCGGCTGGAGGGGGCTCTTCCTGACGGAGGCCGAGCCTCTGTGACACCCCGGACTCTCCCCACGGAGCACCGGCCCCGCTCCCCCCCGCCCCGCGGAAGGCGCCGCCGGCACTGACCGGTGTTTGCAAAGCGCCCGCACACGCCCCGAGGTGAGGGGCCGCACTCCCGCAGGCAGGAGGTCCGGCCGGTGGCGGCACCGGGTGTGGGTTTGGGTCTCGGAGGCCCGCGGCCTGCGCTCGCTGAGCGGGAGGTGCGTGTGGGCCCCAGGCCGGGCCCCCGGAGGCCGGCCCAGCACTGAGGAAGGTCCGCGGGGGCGGCGGCATTTGGGGGTTTCCTGCGAGGCCCCCAAGTCTGCTCACCAGGGCACGTGTTCCCAGCAGCGGGGTGTGTGTGATTGTTTGTGTGTGTGATTGAGTGTGAGTATGAGAGTGTGTGTGACTGTGTATGTGTGAGTGTTTTATGTTCGTGCTCCTCTCTGCACCTCTCAGAGCTCAGTGTCCTGGTCTAAAACACGGTCTCCTCTCCAGCGTGGGAGAAGCCGAGTCAGGTGATGGCGTGGAACCCTCCCACCCAGCCTGGCTGGTGGCTCAGTGGTTAGAGCGCCGGCCCGAGCACCGAAGGGTCACGGGTGTGATTCCCAGTCCAGGGGCATGTACCTGGGTCGTAGGTTCGATCCCTGGGCCCCGACAGGGTGGGTTCAGGAGGCAACTGATGGATGTTTCCCTCTCCCCCGCCGCTTCCACTCTCTGAAAATCAGTGGGAAAATGTCCTCATAGGAGGATGAGCACAAACGGAAGGAAACCGCGCACACGGACGGCAGGGAGCCGCCCTGGGGGTCCACAGCCACGTGTTCTCCCGGAGCCCTGGCCTCCCGGTTCATGCTCGTCCTCGTGCGTCCAGGGTGCCGTCCGAGCCCCGGACCCCCTGGTCTCACCCAGACGCCTGCGGGCGCGGAACGTCCCGCAGAGACGAGACCCAGACTGAGGGGCGGCCTCGGACTGAGGAGGGCACAGTCCGCTCTGGCAAAGCCACGTGCACGCCCCGCGTGGAGGGAGGGCCTCCCCGCACCGTGGCGGCCAGCAGCTGTGGCTGTGAGCCGAACCTGTGGTCGAACACGCGGCCCCACGTGCTGAGTGCTGTGGGCTCGATAGGCTTCAGGTGCACGTAGTGGAGGATGGAAACCCACGAGGATGGAAACACTGTGGCCGCCCTCCCTCTGGCCGTGGGCCCGGAGTAACAGGCAGCCGCTGTCTCCATCCCCAGCCTTCTCGTCAGTCACTCCTAAGCCTTCGCGCCCCCCCCCCCCCCAGGCTCAGCCTGGCCCAGCACAACACAGACAATATGAACAATTTCTAATAAAAAATCCAAAACTCCCAGCAGTATCCCTCACTCCCTCTTCCCGGGAGGGGGCGCTCGTGCCAGAGGGAGGGAGGGAGGAGCGGGCGCTGCTGAGCCGAGAGCAGCCGGGCCATGGCTCCGGGGACAGGAACCGGCTCAGCCTCAGCCTCGGGGCCGCGGAGGCGGGGCTGAGGCTGCCCGCTGCCCGGGGAGCCACGGGCAGTGCCTGGGCAGAGTGGACAGCAGGGGGCGCTGCGAGCTCGTGCTAGCCGAGGAAGCCCAGGGCCCCATGCCCAGCAGGGAGCGCCCCCGCCCGAGGCCCACAGCAGGGTGCGTGGGGTTCTGGCCGCCATCTCCTGAGGTCCGCCCCATCCTGCTCTCTGGGAGTTCCTTCTCCTTCCTGCCTCCACCCACCCCGCCCGCCGGCGCCCTCAGCGCCCCTCCACCAGCCAGAGGAGCCTGTTAAACAGAGCAGCCCGGGCTCAGGTCTCACCGTGCTGACCTGGGGGTCCCGGCCCCTCTCTCTCTGTGGCCTCCGGGCTGCGGTGCACCCCGCCTTTACCCCCCACCCCCCACCCCGCCACCCCCATCGCTCTCCGGGCGGTCAGGGCCCCACCCCCGGAGCCGAGAGGCCTGGGCACCAGCTCAGCCACGTTCAGCCTGAGCCCCCCAAGCCGGGGACCCACCTCCCGCAACTGGCACTGCCCAGGGGCTGGGGCTGGAGGTGCCTGTGAGGCTCAGATGTGGGCCCGTGGGAGCGGGGCCTTGGGAACCCGTCCACTCGCACCAGACGGAGGCCGCGTGGCCCAGGAGGAACGGACACGGCCTCTGGGAGGCGACTGGGGTCAACCTCAAAGCCAACAGGGGACGGGCAGACGCGGGATGGGAGACAGGATGGACGGGCAGACACAGTTGGGGCCTGGCCCCATGCTGTCTGCAAGGGGCGGTACAGGCACACATAGCAGGGTACACAGAGCGGATGCAGGGCCGAACCCCACAGAACGGGGTACACAGAGCGGATGCAGGGCCAGACCCCACAGACAGAACGGGGTACACAGAGCGGGTGCAGGGCCAGACCCCACAGACAGAACGGGGTACACAGAGCGGGTGCAGGGCCGAACCCCACAGACAGAACGGGGTACACAGAGCGGGTGCAGGGCCAGACCCCACAGACAGAACGGGGTACACAGAGCGGGTGCAGGGCCAGACCCCACAGACAGAACGGGGTACACAGAGCGGGTGCAGGGCCGAACCCCACAGACAGAACGGGGTACACAGAGCGGGTGCAGGGCCAGACCCCACGTTCACCACAGGGAACAGCAAGGCCAAGCCGGTGCCGCCTCCAGCCCGCCCGCCCGATGGGAAGGGCGGGGAACGTGGACCTTCTTCACGCGTGTCCTGCCCGTGTCAGGGTGTCGCTGCGGAGACGGAGCTGTGGCTCTGGGCCAGCTCACAGGCTGCGCTCGGGGCTGGGGACGAGCGGGGAGAGGGGCAGCTGGCAGGGTCCCAGCCCGCCGCTCCTGCGCGGGGTCCCGGTGGCGGCAGGAGCCCGGCAGCCGGGCGGCCCGTTGGGGGGGGTGCCTGCCCTCCGTGTCTGGGGTTTGGCTGAACCGGTGTCTGCGCCAGGCCAGGCGCTGCTGCGGGCGCTGCCCACAGCGGGGAGGCCGGCACTTCCGAGGGGACCACCCCGGCCGCGGGCCTGTGCCTGGGGTCCTCGCGCCCACCCTTCAGGGGGCTCCCCCAGAGTTCGGGGGTCAGACCTATTTCTCCATGCGCTGTGGCTCAGCAGATGCTGCGACTGTGGAACCCCAACTCTCCGGGGCACTGGGCGCCCGTCCCGCCTAGCCGTGCTGAGGCCGGGCCCCGCGCCTGGAACCAGGGGAGCCGAGGGCAGGGAGAGGACGGTGCCTGGCCCTCGGGGGGCCCTGCCAGGCCTCACACATGGGCCCTCGTCTGCCAGGCGGCCACAGGGGTCCGGGCCGCCTCGGGAGGGTGCCAGGGGGAGGGCATGAGGTGGGCGGGCACCCGAAACCTGGGCACAGGTGCTGCCAGCGGGAGTCAGGGTGAGGCAGGGTGAGGCCGGCGGCCAGTCAAGCACACAGCAGTCATCCTGTACGTACACAGAAATTCAAGTAATTTATTTAAAACTGCTTCGTTTCACCTTGAAATATATATTTGCTCTAGAATGATCATATTGCAGCATGATTCCCATGCAGTGTACAGTCCTCTATTTAAAAACGTGAGGCAGCGAAGTGTTATGGGGCTCCGTCCGGGCGCGGGCCGAGGCTGCGGGCGCCGGACAGACGCAGCGCGCGGCCGGGCGAGGCGCTCCCTCGCGGGGCGGCCGCGGGGACGCCGGCGTCAAGCGAGGGCCCAGGCGACGAGGTCAGAGGTCAGCAGTGTCCAGCGCGTGGCCGGGCCGTGGCCGCACGCCCCGAGGGCTGGCGGCGCAGCGGACGAGGAAAGACAAAGTGCAATGAGAGAGGCGGGACCCGCCGGGACGGGCAGGGACGTGCTGCGGGCACACCTGCCGCTCCGATGCCCCCGCGTGCCCCCATGGGCGGGGCCGGGAGTGACCCTGCCAGCGCTCGCTCCCCCCCGGAGCGGGGCCCTGCCCCCCGGCTTTGGTGTGGCTGCCACGTGCCCGCGGCCCAGGAGCAGAGCGGGCACACGTGTCAAACTGAGGCGGAGAGGAGACGCTGAGTCTAAACAATGTTTTGGAAAACAAATTTCTAAAACAATCGGAAACAAAAATACCCTCCCGCAGGGCGCTGCAGCACCGGCGTGGCGAGATCAGGCACGTCCCGATGCCTCAGAGAACTGCCTGGTGGACACGCCGTCACCGGCCCGGGGCCGGCCCGCGGCGCTCACAGGCGGCCAGGCCCTCCTGCCTCGCTCACAGTTCAAACATGCAGCACGGCGTGCCTGCGGGTCGAGGACAAAATGAAATTAAAAGATCTTTTTCAATTAAAAAAAAAAAACTTCAAATGATTTTTAATCGTGGACAACGGGAGTCCTGTGGAGCTGCCTCGCGGCTCTGCCTACGGGGGGCCTCCCCTCCCCTCCCCTCGCCCGGGCTGGCGCGGCCCGGGAGCAGCTGCTGGCCGCTCGGGCGCCATGCTCTGCCCCCGCGGTGTGTGCCCGGAGCCCTCACACCATGGACTCCGTCTCCACGGGCCCCGGCGGGCCCTCCTTCCGCGTCAGCCGCAGCACCGTGGGCTTGTCGCCGGGGTCCTCGCCGGGCGGCGGGGCGGACAGGCCCTTCTGCTCGTCCTTGGCCTCCTCCGACACCTCCGGGTAGATGACCAGGAACGTGGCGGACAGGAAGCCCAGGAAGGAGCCCACGGAGGCCACCATGGGGATGACGTTCACGGTGCCCACGGCCTCCACCAAGCCCCCGAGGGCCGACGCCACGAGGATCTGGGAGATGTAGACCTGGCAGGAGAGGATGGCGCAGTCGATGCCGAAGCCGCGCCTGGAGCTGCCGGGGCTGTGGTGCACGTACTGCAAGAGAGGAGCGGGCGGGGGCTGAGGCCGGCCGGCAGGGCCCGTCGGGCCTGCGCCTGCCAGAGCCCCGAGCACAGCCCCAGCGTCCCGGGCACGAGGGAGCGGGCGAGGCCGCGCACCCACCTCCTTGCTGTCATGGTACTGGCCCAGCAGGGCGTAGGGGCAGTAGGAGATGCTCATGGACACGACGCCCATGGTGCTGATCATGACCATGGCCACGTACACGTTGTGGAAGATGGCCATCACGGCGGTGCCCACGGAGAAGCCCAGCGTGCCCAGCATGTAGATGACCCGGATGCTCAGGTCGTAGTTGTCCAGGTACTTCTGGAGCAGAGCTGCGGGAGAGCACGGCTCACGGGCCTGTCCAGGCTCCGCCCTCAGAAAGGAGCCCGTCCCCGCCCAGGCCCTGCAGCCGGCCCCCTGCCCGCAGCCCAGGCCGTCCCGGCCCCGCCGGTGCCCAGTCCTGAGGGGACCTCACGCGGCTGCGGGTTTGCTCCCGGCACGCCTTGGCCGCCCCTCCCGACCAGCAGCTAATGGTCACTCCTACGGAGGCACAGGGATGCCATCCTGGACTCCCCGGGCTTGGACAGCGCTGTGACCGCCACGCTGGCGCCCGCTGCGTGGGCGGCGTTTACCTCGGCTGCCCGAGTCCGGGCCAGGCTGGGGCGGAGCCGCCGCCTCCCCCAGGATGTGGGGGAAGAACGGGCAGGGAGCCCCCCCGGGCACAGGGCTCCCAGGCCTGAGCCTGTCACCCGGACCCCAACCCCCGGCACAGCTGTCTCCGGGGGAAGGCCCCTGGCACAGCAGGTGCCCCTGCAGCCGCCCTGCAGCCTCGTCGGGTCCCGTGCCCACACCCTGGCTCCCTGTCCTGGCCAAGGGGTCAATGCCCCTCCCGGGCTCAGGGCACAGCCCCCTGTGAGGTTCCTGCAGGACTCGGGACGCCGCGGCCTTTCGCCGAGACAGGAGCGCGTTCCGGCCTTCCCGGCGGGCAGGCAGCCCCGTTTCTGAGTGGAGCCCCCGAGAGGCAGCGCCGGGAGCCACTCACCCGAGCAGATGGCACCGGTGGCCGCGTAGATGACCAGCCCCCAACAGCCCATCTTCACGCCGGCGTTGTAGTTCTGCCAGGCGGTGGAGTTGGAGGGTTTCTGTTCCAGAGACAAGACGGGGTTCGGCCGTGCGCCTCGCCGGGCACAGGCGGCTGCTGCCCTCTCCCCGTAGCCAGCAGGTCGGCGCGGTGGGCACAGCACCTCCGCCCAGGTCAGCGCTGAGCGGTCCACTTCCCTGCAGCCTCGCTCTGCCCCGGTCCCGGCTCCCCTAGCTGGCAGCCCTGCCTCGGCCGTCCCCGCCCAGCGGCCCACGGAGCAGCTCCACAGGCCCAGGTGCGGGACGCGTGGAGGGTGGGCCTGAGCCGGTGCCAAGACCACCCCCGCTGGATCCCAGGAGACACGGCCCGGGGAGCCAGGCGGCGTGCGGGCCCACGCTGAGGGCCCGGCCCGCGGTTCCCAGCGCCCCGCCCGGGGATCCTGACTGCTGGGCGCGGACCACGTCCCCCGATGGCCCCGGCCACGGAGCGCGCCCACGGGCCGCCGCCCGCCCGCTCACCTTGGGGTCGCCGTCGAAGATGACCTGGCCCATGAAGTCGGTGTAGAACACGGCCTCGGCGATGACGGAGAACCAGGTGAGCAGGTGGCAGAGGCAGAGCCGCAGCAGCTCTCGCGGCATCTTGAGCATGGACAGCCACAGCAGCCGCACCGTGGTCTCGCCCTCGCCCTCCTCGCTCTCCGTGTCGCCGCTCGAGGTGGTGGCCCCGCTCTGGTGGCGGTGCCGGCTGCGCTGCCGCTGCCGCTTCTGCAGGTCGTACAGGTCGCTCATGCTGCGCGAGGGCTTGATCAGCACCACGGCGTTGGCGCGCCGGTAGCGGTAGCGGTGGGAGCCGATCTTGCCGTAGTAGGAGAAGGTGCTGGAGGCCTGGCGGCGGAAGCCGTGCCTGCGCCGCCGCAGGGCGCCGGGCGCCGCCGAGGGCTTGGGGTCCACGGCGCCGTAGCCGGGCGGGCCGTCCCTCGGGGGCGAGCCGCTGCCGTTGGGCACCTTGGCCTCGTGCGCGCGGTGCGCCAGCAGCACGGCGTCCTCCTTGGCGGTGTCCCCGAGCGGCGCGGGCAGGCGGGGCGGCGGCGCGGGGCTGAGGTCCTGGCTGGCGCTGGCGGGCGTGCCGGGGCCCGAGGCGTCGTGGAAGATGGAGGGCTCGATGCCGCGCAGGAACAGCAGCTCGGGCTCCAGGCCCAGCGCCGCGTCCGGCACGTGCAGCGCCGAGTCGCTCTTGCTCCGGGCCAGCCCCTCGCCCAGGTAGTCCAGCGCCAGCTCCTGCTCCGACTGCACCTCGTCCGGGACCGGGCCGCCGCCCAGCAGGCCGGGCGGGGCGGGCGGCGCCTCGGCGCGCTCCTGCGGGGGGCAGTGCTGCTGCTCCTCGATGCTGAGCAGGTGCAGGGCCACGGACGCCGTGAACAGCACGGCCGCGAAGAAGAACAGCACCTGGTTCTGCGTCCGGAACCAGGAGCCCAGGAAGGTCTGCGTCCAGTCCAGCCCCCCCAGCACGTAGCCGAGGGCCCCGCCGAGGCCTGGGGGGCGAAGGACAGCGCCGTGAGGAGGGGCGGGGTCTGCGACGGGCCGCGGGCTCGGGAGGGAGGGAGGGGCGGGCACGGAGGCGGCGCAGGCCCTGTGGGCGACTCCGGGTCGGCAATTCTGACCCTACGCTTCCTGCCTCATAAACTAGGGCAGCCTGCCAGGTGGGGAGCAGAGCCTGGGACCCCGCGGCCCCCCCCAGGCCTCGAGGCCGGCGCTCCCCTCGGAGGTGAGAGCTGCAGGGCCAGCAGCAGCCACAGGGCCGGTCAGGGCTGCTCTCTGGCCACTGGTGGGTGTGGGTGCGGCCTCGGGCGCGGGCCGGGATGGGGGCGGGGCGCTCACCGGCAGAGAAGGCGTGGATGTTGAGGGCCATGTCCTGGTCCTCGCTGTCCACCACGTCCAGCAGGTAGGCGCGGATGGGCCCCTCGGTCGCGTCGGCGCTGAAGTCCAGGACCACCACGCCCAGCACAGTGAGCACAATGCCGATGGGCTGCTGGCCAGGCACATCCCCGAGGACCAGGCCTGGCGGGCACACAGCGGGCAGGCCTCAGCGCCAGGCGCCCCCGCACGGCCAGAGGGGCTCCTCGCCTGGAGTGCGCCCTGCCTCCGTCCTCCGGCACCGCGGCTTCCCTCCGGTCAGCTAAGGTGGGCTCAGAGCTCCCTGTGAGCGCGCCAGACCAGGAGGGAGGGTGCCCCCGCGGGGTCTGTGGGAGCGCCGGAAGGGCCTGCAGGGGCTGCACGGTGCGGCGTGCGTGGGACGGGGCGACACCGGGCTCTATCGGGGACAGGGAGCCCCCAAGGGGTTCAGGCAGGCGCCTCCTCCAGGGCCGGCCACAGAGTGCTCAGGCCTGGGGCAAGCTCCTGCCTTAAAGTCATTGGCAGGGCGGGCGGAGGGGGGTCAATGGGGAAAAGGAGACGTGTAATACTTTAAACAACAGGAAAGAGAATATTTATCACCCTTAAAAGCAAAAGCAAAGCCCGGGCAGAAAACAACGTGCAGTCTCCCTCCTGGAGCTGCCTCAGGCAGAGACAGAACAAACGAGACAGAACCGGGAGCCTGAGGGGGCCGGGAGCCTGAGGGGGCCGCAGGACAGCCAACAGCCCGGAAAGCGCCTCCCTGAGAACCGCGGCCCCAGCGCCGCCTCCCCGGGCCGGCTCCCGGGCCGGCTCCCCTCCTCAGCCGCCAGCGCTCCCCGCGGGCGGGCTCCCGGCCGGACTCACCGAGGGCGGCGCCGTTGAGGAAGAGGGCCACCCCGAGCAGCACGCCCACGCACAGGGCCAGGATGAAGGGCCGCCGCCGGCCCCAGCGCAGGGTGCACCGGTCGCTGGCGGAGCCGATGAGAGGCGTGAAGATGAGGCCGAGGACGGGGCTCAGGAACCAGGTGAGGCTGTAGTACTGCTCCGGAAGGCCTGCAACGCACACGCTGTCACCGGGGCACGCACACGCTCAGGCGTGTGGTCATCACACACGGGCACGCACACGCACAGGCGTGTGGTCATCACACACGGGCACGCACACGCTCAGGCGTGTGGTCATCACACACGGGCATGCACACACAGGCGTGTGGTCATCACACAGGGGCACGCACACACAGGCGTGTGGTCATCACACACGGGCACGCACACGCACAGGCGTGTGGTCATCACACGGGCACGCACACACACAGACCTTTGGCCATCACACACAGGAACACAACACGCCCCATCCCAGGGGAAGGCACACACTGACGGGTGGCCGTCGCATGCGTGCCGTCACATGCAAACACAACCACCATACAGGTGGGCGTGCACACACGAGCGGGCACAGACACTCGGCAGGGTGCCGCTGGGCACACACACGAGGCTGCATACCCCCCGGACGGTTACGGACTTGTCAGGGCAGAAGGCCCGAGCTGTGGGGCTGCGGGATTTGAACCCAATTGAAGCCCTTGCGCCCATTTTTCAGATGGGACACTGAGCCTCCGAGGCTGGCACACTCTGTCTGTCACACAGTGAGAAACCAGGGCTGCCCAATCCCAAGGACTCTGCCACACTGAGCCCCACGCTGGCGTCCTCCCACCCAAAGCCAGTGCCCCGGGGACCCCACGCTCAACCACCGAGCCACGGTGGCCGCTGTCCCAGCTCCTCTGTCCTCAACCCGGCCGCCCCTCACCGGCCATGCCCACCCCCCGCCGCCAACCCAACACGGGATGCACAGGGTCTGGCCACGCGAAGCCCGTGCTCTTCTCCAGTACACGCCAGGACACGGACACACACGGGCCAGCTGCCATGCCGACCCTGGAAGGCAGCTGTCCCGCCCGAGAGGGACGGGGGGCAGGGAGGCAGGCCGCCCGGAGGTGCTGGCGGCGACGCTGGGCCAGCACTGCCCCTTCAAGGCACCGAGAGGCTGCGGGCGACGGGGTTTCCGGGCCGCACGCTCGGCCTGAGCGCCTGCAGTCTGGCTGCAGGGAGACAGCGCAGGTGAGAGCCCTGGCCCGCCCCGCCCGCCCGCCCAGGGTGGCCTTGGCCTGGCTGAGCTGCTGGGGGGCACGTGGGCTGGGACTGTGCCTGCCACCCCAGGGCGATGCGGGGGAGTGCGTGGCGTCCCGGACAGGCTCGCAGCAGACAGGGCCTTGTCTCTCTGCAAGTCACACAGCCTGAGCCCTGGCAGGGAGCGCGGTGTGCCATGGCTGCCCCGGGGCGCGGGGACGTGCTGGGCAGCGGCCTGGCCCGGGGCACCCGCTGGGAGTGCACAGACCCTGGGGGCACTGTTTACGCCCGAACCCCGGCCGGAACAGTAACCACTTCCCTCACGCGGCCCGCGCCCTGCCTGTGCTGAGCCGCCGGACGCCCCGCGGCGGTGGGAACAGGCCGGCCCGGCCGGGCAGTGGGAGCGGCGGCCGCGGCCGTTCCCAGCCCCGCTCCGGACAAACAGGCGGCCCGTCAATGGCTCTGTTTTCCCCCAGCCAACAACAATGGTGGGACCAGGAAGGCCGCGCTCACAGGAAGCGCTCGTGTGTCACCGGCCGCCGGCCGTGAGGTCATGGTGACGGTGAGCTCGGTCTGCGGGCTCCGCTCGGGGCCTCTCCTGATAAGCCGGGCGGGGGGCGGAAAGGGCCGCGGCGGGAACAAAGGACCCTCTGCAGACGGGCTGCCCATCAGATAGGCGCCTTCGCCGGCAGCCGCCTGGGAACCGCCTGGGAACCGCCTGGGAACCGGCTCCTGGTGGGAACCGGCCCCTGGTGGGAACCGCTTGCAGCCTCGGGACCGGAGCGCGCCCACGAAGGAAGCCGTGAGAGGCCGTCCCTGCCTCTGGCCACGCACAGGCCCCATGGCGGCCCCTCCCCCGGAGCCAGGGTCTGCCTGCCCAGGCCGAGGGGCAGACGGCACCCCCAGCTGGAGCCAGGGCCCCCGGGCTGCAGGAGGTTCCGGAATCCCGGAGCCCCCAGGAGGAGGAGGCAGAGAGGTGGCCCTCGCCTGCTGGCGCCCCACGGTCCTGGGTGAAGGAGGGAGCCTCAGACGCCGGGCCCCGCCGGGCCCTGTCAGTCCCATCACAGCCACCCTGGCAGGCACAGGGGCGGCGTCCGCGCCCCCTGCGCCCCCCGCTGCCCCCCTCCGAGGACAGCTCGCTCGCTCGGGTTCGGGCTGAAGGCACCGGGGGAGGCCTCGCAGGGGCGGCGGGAGCGGAGCGGTGGCTCAAGTGCCACGGCCACGGCTGGACACAGCGGGGCCACGGGCAGGTGAGCGCCAGGCCAGGTGAGCGCCAGGCCAGTTCCGGGCGATGAGCACCTGGACCACAGCAGATGGAGACCAGGGGCCGCACCATCAGGGAGCCCCCTCCTACCGCCCCCTGCAGGGCCGACGACCCAGGGGCCTCAGGCCCAGGGATATGGGAAGCCAGGTCACCGCAGCTCAGGCCTGTCCTCCCCCAGCTGCAGGGCGGCCGTCCTGCCGGCTCCCCCTGGGATAGCCAACTGCCCCCGCCCCCAGTGCTGATCTGCCCTGAGGACAGGAGCTGGGCCACTTTCTGGGGCTCCAGGCCTGACACCCCACTTCCCCGGGAAGGGGACGGAGGGGCCCGGAGAAGCAGGCGCACTGAGCCGCGGAGGTGAGCAGCACTCGCAGGAAGTGAGCTGAGCCTCTGCTCGCAGCGCCGCCCTGCGTCCAGGGGAGCCCGGGGTGCGGGGACACGGGCCGCCAGAAAGCCGAGGGCCGGGTGGGCAGCAGGGCAGCAGCCACGGACGGCAGGCGGTGTGGCCAGTGGGCTGCGCGGTCACATCAGCAGGAGAGCCGTGAAGAATGAGGCCGGGGTGGGGGCCTGAGAATCCAGCCTTGGGAGCGGGGCCACAGCTACAGTGACAGCGGGTGGAAGTGTGTGGGAGCGGAGAGGAACAAGGTCACACAGCCGGCTTGAAGCTGATGACTCGGCAGGAACCCGCCCAGCTCAGCGCCGCCCTCCCGCCCTTGGCCCCGGGGACTTCTGCCCTCACATGCTTCACGCCTCGGCAGGCGGCAGCCAGGGCCTGGCCCCCTCGCGCAGCCCTGACCACCAGGCTCCCAGCTCCTGACCGGCCTCATGGTGACCTGCAGAGCAGTCCTTGTCCCGCGTGGCTTCCTGCCCCCAGCCAGGCAGGCGCCCCTCACAGGCCTTCCTGCGAGGCCCCCAGACAGTGTGCGGGCCCCGGGCACCCACACCTACTCACCCACCGCCCACCCACTCGCCCACCTACCCGCCCGCCAGCCCACCCACCCACCCGCCCACCCACCCGCCCACCCACTCACCCACCCACTTACCCACCTGCCCACCCACTCACCCACCCGCCCACCCACCCACCCACCCACTTACCCACCTGCCCACCCACCCACCCACCTGCCCACCCACTCACCCACCCACTCACCCACCTGCCCACCCACTCACCCATCTACTCACCCACCTGCCCACCTACTCACCCACTTGCCCACCTACTCACCCACCTGCCCACCCACTCACCCATCTGCCCACCTACTCACCTACTTGCCACCCATTCACCCACCTGCCCATCTATTCACCTCCTCCCCGCCAGGTGTGTCCCTCCCACTTAGACAGCTCGTGTCAGTGAAAGGCTTTTCAGGACAAAACCACCGCCCGGGACTTTGCTGGTGGACATACTGTACTGGTTGTTCGGATATAACTCTTCCTGTCGATTTTAGTCCCCGTGTGTATACACGGCTCACGTTCCGTCATGACTGTAATTCCGGGAGATTATCACGATGCAGCAAGTTTGAAAGCTGCCGTAATACAATACAGTCCTATCAGGACTGCCCAGCACCACTGCCCTTTCCTAGTGCTAATACGTGCGACTCGGAAGAGGGCGGAATGGCCCCAGGCTCTGTACATCACCTCCTTGGAGCGGCGAATGAGGCCTCCTGTGATCAGACCCCTGCCTCCCAGGGTCCAGATCTCTCTCACCTCAACGCAGCCTCCCCACCTCCTGCCCTCTCGCCGTGCCTGGTCGGCACTAGCTGTTCTTTTCCCGCTGCCCCCCACCGGGCTCTCTGGGGGCTGGGGGCTGGGGGCACCGGGCCCTCGGAGGGGTGTGCTCTATGGGGACCCGGAGGCACCTCGCACCTGGCTCCAGGCCCTAGGCCCGACCCCAGAGTGGAGAAGCGGGGGGCACCGGCCCTGCTGTGCTCGCTGGGGTGGGCTCTCACAGGAAGGAGGGACACCAGTTCTCCCAAGTCACCCCGAGGCCCGCTTCTCCTGAGGGCACAGCGGCAAAGGGAAGAGACAGACAGACACAGTGCCTGCGCCTCGCCAGCTCCAGGAGGGACCAGGCCCTGCGGGCTGGATGCCCTGGTCACGGCCACGGTCACGGCTCCCCGGCAGCCGGCAGGCGTCCCAGCCTTCACCCCCATCAGTCAGGCCCGAGGCAGCGCAACATCCTTTCTGCTCGTAGGACTTTCCTTTCCCTCGGGGCTTCCGGAAGCAGAGAAAACAATGAGTGTGGCCGGCGCCCACTCGCCTCCTTCCCGGGAAAGGCTGTGTGGGAACAGGCTCGGCCCGTGGGCGACAGGCTGTTCCCAGTTTCCCAAGACTGACCCCCACCCTGCAGTCTAACTCTGAGAAGCCCATCACCCTGAGCAGGGCTGCGGCGAGGTGAGCCGGCGCCTCCCCTCCTGCCTGTGCAGGGTGGGGTCTGCGGAGCCTCCTTTGCGCGGATGCTGGGCCCGGGGGTGGGGGGTCCGGCCCAGTGCCTGGCCCTCCCCTCCCCTCCGCTCCGCTCTCCTTTGTAAGAGGCTGCGCCTGGGGCCCGAGAATCCTCCTCCAGGGGTTTCCCACGCGAAGGACAGCACAAGGCAGGTGGCAGGGAGAGTCAGCTCTAGCTCAGAGGTGAGGAGGGCCTGGACCCTGCCCTCCAGCCCCTCCCAGATGATGTGAGAACAGACCCTTCACCTCTCCCCCACGCCCTCACCAACTCAGGTGCTCACGGCCTGACCGTGGAGCGCACAGAGGCCTCACTGTGACGGCTCAGGCCAGGGCTCCAGTTCAAACAAAACCGAACAAGAAAAAAGAAGTGGCGTGCCAGTGTTCACCTACGTTTACAACTTCTGATTTTGGATACGACTAAGACAGTGACAGGGAAACAAGGCAACACGGATAGTTACCGGCTGGTGCTGCCAGAAGCACGGCAACATGGATGCGATCAAGGCCTCCCGAGAGGAAGGTACAGGAAGCGCCCGCAGCGGGAGGAGGCCAGGAAGCCCGAGGCACGGCTGGGAAACGTGAGAGCGGGTGCTGGGCCCTCCCGCTGAGAAACGCACCGCCCTGTCCCCGCCCCCGGGCACCGCGCTGCGGGCACAGGCGTCTTCAGATGACGGCCCGCTGCCCCCGAGGGCGCCACGCAGACACTGCGGTTCCCAGATCCCGACTCAGAGCTGACCGCGGAGGGCCGCTCGGGAGAAAGGACATTCCCAAACCCAAACACGCAGGTTGTAGATCCTTCACCGGCACACGGTAAATTCTAGAATGAAACTGCTTTTAAATGGCGTGGTCCCTTCCTCAATCCCTTCCAGGCTGGAAAACCACAGACTGCTAACCCTCCTTACACGACAGGGGGTGAACCAACAGCAGCTGGCCCGGGGACCGCGGACGCCGGGACTTCCCACACCCGGTCCCTCGCCACCGAGGCTGCACTGCAGGCAGACCGCACGGCAGGTGACGGCGACACCGACACCAGGGTTTTATAAAGCTGCGCAGCGTCTCCTGCCAGGTGTCAGCCAGGGCTTGTGCACTCCCCATTGGGACAGATCAACGCCAACTGCACTTGTTCAAACCCCCAAACCCCATCCCAACCCCCACACCAGGAGACCCCCTCCCTGCCCTGGTCCAGACAGGAGCGGAGGGGTCAGAGGAGGCTGCAGGGAGGAGACCAGCCCGCTCTGCTCCGTGTGCCCGCGGGCGGCGGCGGCACTCACCGATCTGCAGCAGGATGGGCGTGACCAGGGCGGTCTCCATGGCGTAGCAGAACTCCCTGCCGAACATCACGGCGCCGTGCATCACCCACAGGCGCACGGGGATGCGGTCGATGGAGCCCTCGCTGACGGTCTCGTCGCGCGGCTCGGGGCCGGGGCCCGCTGGCTTCCGCAGCTCGGGCAGGGCCACGGGCAGCTCCTGGACTGGCAGAGACTCCGAGTCGGCATTCTGCGGGGCCATTCTCATCACCACCGGAACCGCTGTCTGCTTCCTCCGCCTCTGCGAACAGCACTGGCGTGTATCTGAGCGGGTAGGTAAGACGTCGCCTCTCGCCTCTGCCTCGCGGTGCTCCCCGGCCAGTAACCCTTATATTCCTCTCGGTGCAACTGCCCCTCGGGCACAGCGCGCAGCCCGCAGAGTGCCTTCCGGCCGGATCCTGAGCATGTGGCTGCGATTACTGTGAGTGCGAGTTACAAATCCATAGTGGCCATTCAGTTAATACCAGTGTCATCATTATGACCGAGGAGGTGCGGGCGTGGTCTCGGTGGCTGCGGAGAGGCGGGGCGCTGACACGGGAAGGGGCTCCACCGTTGCTCCCCATCGAGCGACCGGCTAATCTGCAAGAGAGGAGGGACCGCGTCAGGCCAGGCGCGGGAACGCGGCGCCGGCAGCCAGGCGGCCATGAGGGAGGCGGCCACGGCGGTGCCGTTCTCGGCGGCTTATGTCCAACAACAAGATGGCGGAGCGGCTCGCCGAGGGTCCAAGACCGCCCAGCGCACGGCAGCCGTGGCTCAGCGACCGGCCGACAGGTCTGAGGGCTCAGCCGAGTCCTGAGCGACGTCCCCGCTTTGCCTGGCCGGCCGGCTGTGAAGTGAAGCCGCGGTGACAGTCGCTGGCCCAGTTACCACCCGGTGACACCTCAGGGCTGGGGCTCCTGGCCAACGTCTAATGGCCCTGGAACACGGGGGGAGGAGGGGCAGCAGGGACGGCCTGTGCTCGGCTGGAGGGTGAGTGTCCAACCCCTGCCTCGCGGTCAGGGCTGCCGCCCCCACGCAGCTGGTCACAGCCACCGGCCCGCTGCAGGGGCTCCCAGCCTGAGACTCTGGGATGGCCTGGCGCTCCCCGGTCCACTCTAACCTTGGACACACGTGGCCGCCTGGGGAGCCTGCGGTCCCTGCCCTGGTGCTGTCTGTGGGGCAGAGGACGGAAGGACCCGCGCCAGGCAGGGCCCCACTTCCTCCTTGCTCCTCAGCCCTCCCGCCTGCACTCCGCCACCCAGTCCCTGCAGTCTGTTTTCAAGGCCCAGCCCGCCCGGCGGCACTGCCCACGCCCCTTCCCGCCCAGGCCCTCACGGCTCCTGTCCTTGGGGACCAGCTCCCAGGCCAGGGGAGCCCCTCAGCCACGCCATCCACTCCATCCCGAGCCGGGCCACACCGGCGCCCGGGGAGCCGCGGGGAGGACGATGAGTGAGGACGCTGCCGGCCGCTCCGGAGGGCCCCGTGCACCGGAGGGCGTGGTTACCTGTTAGCCAAGGAGTCTAGGCATTAACGCGGCGGCTCCCTCGCCAGGCAGTGCCCACGCAGCGGCCGGGACAGTTACCCAGGAAGCGTCACTGGCATCTATATTGACGGAAACGACAGACACGTTAGCGTCCTGTCAGCGGGGCGGGCACGTGCACAGCCCCGGTCACAGCTCTGCAAGCTCACTCCCCGCTCCCCCAGAAGGCGGCTCTGCACCAGCCTCCTCAGCTGCTGGGAGCGGCCTCGGTGGACGCTGTGGCCTCTGCTGGCCTTCCGCTCAGGACCAGAGCTCAGACAGGCTCCTCGCCCAGAGACGCTCCACGGGCAGCACGGGCCTGCTGTGCAGATGCACTCAGATAAGTGAGCCGACAATGGCTCCACCAACAACTTCCTCTATTGTCCTGCTTCTCACTCAAGGGCAAGTGATGCCAAACACGTGACTTCCGGCCACGGGCTGGGCCATCCTGACAGGCTCTCGCGCTCGGGTCCGGCCTGAGCCTCTGCCCGGAGCCACACACTCGAGGTGACGCGATGGCCAGCCCCTCCGCCGGCGGTCAGAGGCCACGCATGTTCGCAGTGTGGCTGATCACGCCTGCACATGACACATGCGCACCACACCGCCCGAGCAGGCGGCCCCTGGCCAGGGCCAGGGTGGCTGGGTGTGGCCACAGCTGTTTGTTTGCATTCAACACGGGCCCTGCCCTCGACCACGTTCAGAAGTGGCAGCAGCCGGGACCGGTTTGGCTCAATGGACAGAGCGTCGGCTTGGGGACTGAAGGGTCCCGGGTTCGATTCCGGTCAAGGGCATGTACCTTGGTTGCGGGCACATCCCCAGTAGGGGGTGTGCAAGAGGCAGCTGATCCATGACTCTCTCATCGATGTTTCTAACTCTATCTCTCTCCCTTCCTCTCTGTACAAAATCAATAAAATATATAAAAAAAAAAAAAAAAAAGAAGTGGCACCAGCTGGTGACCCCATCGGACGTGTCCTGGCCCCACCCCTCCTGCGCGGCTCTCAGGTGCCATGGAGAGGAGCCGGGAGCAGACCCACAGCGGCAGGCGAGGGGCCAGCTGGACGGAGACCACGAAGAGACGGGATGTGGAACCCAGCACGTTCCAGAGCCGCACTGAGGACGGAGAGGAGCATCAGGCACACCGTTTCCTGAAACCACTTCTGAGCCCCGCTGGTGGCTGCGGCGGCTTCCCGGCCGGAGGCACTGAGGCGGGAATGGCGAACTGCCCCCAGCAGACACGCGCTGCCACAGTCGCCGTCCCAGAAACACAGACGGGCTCACGCCTCTGCCTCCGCCTTCACGTGCCCCTGGTTTGCACCTGGGCTGAGGAGGCTTCTTGTTTTTCAATTAAAAGTCAAGGGTTTCTCCCCTTCTCCACATCCCCAGCCCCTGATCGTGAGGACCAGCTCTCCGGCAGGAATGAGGCTGTGGCTGCCGTGGCAACAGGCAGCCGCTTTCCCACGCACAGCTCCGTGCCCCGCCAGGGAGACGCAGCCTCAGGGCCCACCTATGGGGCAGGTGAGCAGCCCCGCGGCCAGGTCCGATTGCCCCTGCCGCCCGGCCAGGGGCCAGTCTCCTCGGCCAGGTCCCAGGCTGCCCAGGGACACTCATGACAACCAGCGATGGAAATCAAAGTCCCTCATGTCCCAGACACAGACCCAGCACCGACCCCAGAGACGGGCTGGGGCAGGAACCCCACACTGCGCCGTGCGGGCGCCTCTCGCTGGTGCTGACACCCCGTCAACCAGAGGGGCTCCCGCCTGGGGTCTGCCCTGCAGAGAGGACGCCACGCACAGGAAAACGGGGCGGCTGCCCTGTGGTCCAGGTGTCAGGCAAGCCCGACCGCCCGTGTTTTAAAGGGGAATCTGAACACACTCCAAAGTTGTCAGAATCCAACGGTGAATCTCTGATGGCTGGGGACGGCCTACAGGTGACTCTGGCCTGGCTATACCTCTCCTTCCCTCAGGGCCAAACGAACCAGAGCCCCCCCTCGCGACTCCGCTCCCTGGCTGGGGTGCAATCCCGGTCGCTCACCAGCTCCCGTGGTGCTGTGGTGTCTCAGGCCCTCCCGCTCCTTCCGTCTCAGCACAGGGCCGTGGCCCCGGGAGCTGCAGGGCCAGCCCTGCCGGCAGGCGAGGGAGGGGACGGCCCGCCTTGAGCTTCTTTCCCCACAGCACCCCCCTCCTCCTCCAGAGACGAGACCCCGTTCTCTGCTCTCCACCATCACCTCTGGAGTGAAGGTGGACAGTCAGACGCCTTCTTAAAAACCAGTCCTTCCCACACGGACCAGACGCCTGGCAACACACGTGAGCGGGCTTCCCTGCTCCACAGCAGGCCCGGCCCCCCAGCACGGGCTCCGGAACCCAGCTCTGCCGGACACTCTCCCCCGAGGCCGGGCTCCACAGGGAGCTGTCCGCGGCTGCCCTCGCTCCAGAGCCGCTGCCTGTGGCTGGCCAGCGGGCTGTCGGGGGGCCAGGACCCCTTCCCCGGGCTCAGACAACCTGCCAGGAAGGCTCAGAGCTCGGGGAAACCGTTTCCTCCCCGGCACGGATTCACTCCAAGGATCTTACGGACGCGCGGCCGCCGGATGGGGACGCGCAGGCAGCGCACAAAGCGGCTCTGTGCCCGCAGCCTGCCCGCGCGTGGCACGCGGGGGTGGTCTGGCCCAAGGCAGGAGCCGCCCTGGTGTTTACGAGGCTCAGCACTAGTCCCAACTGAGCCAGGCCCGGCCCTGAGCCCCCCTCCAGCCCGGTCCCTCCCAGAGCGGGGGTGGGGCTTGGGGGGCAGAGTTCCAGCCCTCTGAGCACCAGGCTGGGGCTCCTGGCAGCCAGCCCCCTCCACCCTCCAGAGCTTTCCAAAAGCCACCTCATTAACGTAACAAAGGACACCTTCACCCCCACAACACGCACACCTAGGAAATTCCAGCGCGGAGCGGGAGCCAGCAGTGGGGAGACACAGGGGTGCTCTGTATTAATGAGGTGCTTCTGGGAAGCGGGAGAATAACCCGGCGTGTCCTGACCAGGCCTCCTAAACAGAGCCCCGCCGGCGCTGACAGCTGACAGGGAGTGCAGGCAGCAGGGCTGGAGCAGCGCACGTGAGCACGCCGAGGTCTCTTCCAGGACGGATGCAGAGAAGAAGGTGCATCGCTGGGTGATTCACAGCACATTCCTTCTGCTTCCATAAAACCTGAACTTTATTTTAAATTAGATAATAAACTACCTTTCAAAACAACTTTCTGCCCGGCCTATCCAACACCACAGGCCCTGCCGGGTGGGGAGTGCCCAGGAGGGGAGGGGGGGCAGGGCAGGTCTGACAGCCCCTTTGGACCCAGGAGCTCCTGCAGGTGCACTTGGTGCATCCAGAAGCTTCCCAGTCCGACCAGCACTGGGCCAGGGACGGGGACCCTCCGGTGCTGTGGTGCCCAGTGTTAACGAAAAAAACCCATTGAAACCTGTAAAGAATTTTAGTGAATGTGAGCCAAACTGTTGACATATGCCGGGAAGCAGAACCTCAATGGACTGAGATAGCGCTCCGGAGAATGGCGGGTTACGCCTGTATTTATCCATTGCCATCAGAGGAGGGACAGGGGGGTTACATGAAATTCATTGGTGACGGAGTAAGGAGGCGGGATAAAGCAAAGCGGTGGGAAACCCCTGGGACTGGATAAGAAGTAAATGATGGACACACACTTAGGTGCGTGCAGAACAATTAAC